TTTTTTCTAATTCAATTCTTTTTTTTATATTTTTTTCTTTAGTTTCAATCATAATAGCAATGGAAATTATAATAAAATCTACTTTGCTTTTTTTTATTTTTAAAAAGATTAGATTTATTAATTATCAATTCTTTATTTTAAACAGTATTTCTATTTACTATAAAAAAAGAAGTTATATTTTACAAGTACCAAATATATTATTCATTTTTTCATATTATTTTCAATCTTTTCTCTCTCACCAAATTTTTTCATTGTACTTTTTAACTTTATTATAAATTTAATTATTTTTATCAACTAATTTTTAATAGCATTAGTTTTTTTGTTTTTTAATAACTTTGATAAAATTTCATTAAACATCTTTGATTTATTATCTTTCTTATACTTATCAAATTATTTATAATATATTGAATTAAAAGATCAACTTTATAATCTTGTTAATATTACTTAAGTTATTATATTTATCTGTATTTAATTAATGTTTAAAAGATTTTTTTTTATTAAAAGTATTTGTAACTTTAAATTAATTAAAAATTAATTAATGTAAAAAAAAACTTTATAATTTAATAAATTAACTTAATAAAATACTTAATTCTAATATTTTTTTTAAACGTTTTCTTTATTAAAAATTTTCTTTTCTTAATTGAAAACATTTGTTTCAAAATATTTTCTAAAAGTTGATTAAAACACTTTCAAAAGTATTATTAAAAGTAAAATGTTGATTGTGTGATAGTATTAGTTTTTTTATCATCAACTTCAATATTTATTATTTTGGAAATACTTTCAAAATATTTATGAATAAAATTAGAAGTAATATAGTTATTATTTGCTTTACAATCTTTTAATATAAGTTCAAATTATTAAAGCTTGAGATATCATATAACTGATCTGAATTATTAAAACTACATTTGACAAATTCTATGTAGTTTAAGTATAAAAAATAAAATCTATAATTTATAATTGTAGTCAACGCGTCAAGTATTTTTGTAACATCTAAGTTTGATGAAGAAATTAAAGGATTGAATCTTAAAATAAATTTTTTAAGGTTTTTTTGATTAAGTAATAGCTTATATAGTGAATCAACTGTATTTATTTCATCTTTATCTGAAATATATTTTTTTTAAAATTGCTGATTAATGTTTTTTTATTATGAATTTCTTTAACGTTTTTATAGTCTGAAACTGTTGTATCTAAAATTATACAGGCTAAATTTTTACTCTTTTGAATAATTGTGTTAATTATTGCATATGTAATCATTTGAATTGTTTCGCATTGATATATTCGTTTTTTTGATGTCCAATTTGTCACTAAGACAAATAATTCAAAATAATCCAATTCATATATAAATTCGAAATAATTAAACGTTCGTTTCATGAAATTTATTTCTAAATCTCTTTTTATTTCTTCATCTAGATAGCTCGCATAAATTTCTATAACATTATTAATATAATCATAAGATTTGTTTCGATTTAACTGATTTACATATTTAATTCGACAAAATGGTTTTTTCCAAATAATAGGAATTCCTATCCTACACTAATATCGACATGTCATGATGCAATTATAAAGCGAATAATTGTTTATATATAATATTGTAAATATTTCGAGTATTAATTCTGATGGTAAATAATAATTACGTATATTCATTTTCTTTTCTTTGTACGATCTAATTAGATATTTTTAATATTAATATTTATACTTTTTGAGCATTCTTTTACAATTCAATTGTTTAACCCATTTTGAAAATTATATAATTTGTTCGATAAATGTTTCGAAAAATAATTAAAACTAGCGCTATAATTAAAGCTATAAAACTAATTGTTGATAATATAATGCATGGACCGACTGTATTGTCTTTAATTCCTGGAAATTTACTTATGAAGTTGAATACGTTTTTGAAAATTAATGATGCAATTAAAAATGAAAATAAAATTAAGTATGAACGACAAAAAATATAATAGATAATATTTTCCGATGAATATCGTTAACATTAAAACGATCAAATTAAAATTGAAATAATAATAGTAATTTTCGGTAGCAATCCTCCCGATTTGGAATTATTGGGTTGTTTTGGTTGTAATTCATGAAATGATAAATTAAGTTTAGTTAATGTATCATTAACAAAATTTTCGCTAATTCTTTTTGCTTCATCTGAAATCACTTTTGCTTATTCACTACTTTCTTAGCCATATCACTTGCATCGCTTGCCTTTTCTTTTATTGTGTTTTCAAGCTCTTCTAATAAAGCGCTTCGTTTTTTTATTTCAACGATACTTGGAACTACAAATCAATAAATTTATTTATTTTTTTATTTAAATTTCCAATTTTATATAATAATCACTACTTACAAGTATCAAAATTATATGTTAATTTATTATTACACTTATTTTCGAAACAATATCCATATATTGTAAATAAAACATGGTCAGTTTTAATTATATTTTTAATATTATCGTCGAAAAAAAATTTATTCAAATATATTTTTCCATTTATTCCACCTAGTAATATACAAATGCACTATATCAAAGATAAACTAACTAAAATATAAATGCAAATTTATATACACTTGTAGTTTTATATTGTAATTTAATTTCTGTTTTTGCCATTGTTTAGATGTATGAACTAATCCATAAAACTAATTTATATATTTCAATATTTGCAAAAAACTATTTTTTCACCTGAAAAAGTAAATAATTTTTTCAAGTTTAAATAATTTCTTATTTTATACATTTTTAAAAATAAAATAGACAATTATTTAATGGTTTGATTTAAAATAATAATATTATTTATTATTCTGAATACAATAACAAAAATAAAATTATCTAATTAATCAAATCCAATTATATTAAATTTTTTACACATTTCTTGATCATATACATCGATTAATCGAACTTGTTGAAGTAATAATATAGATTTCTTATTAATTTTCTTAAAATTTTTATCCTGTAACTTTAATTTTCGCTTTTTTGGCATATACTTATAATCCGGGCACAAATTTTTGTGTACAGGGTACGCAAGTTTTCACAAAGTATCATAAAATTTTTTTGTTTGTATCGATTCAGACCGCCAGGATTCCGCAGCATGTTTCGAAATGTATTTTAAGTTTTTTGAAACGTCTAATCCATGTTCACTAATAAGCTTAATTGTAAAATTTCGTCGATAAATAACAAAGACGTTTTGTGGCCGAGGAGAATTGCGATTACGACTATTTATTGTAGTTAGGACATATTAAATTTCTTATTGTTTGCAATGATATTAGTTGAATCAACTGGTTATAGTCTGCTTGAGGAATTTCTGAAATTACATTGTCGATAACTTTTGAAACATTTCGTGTGTTTATTGTTTTTTGCATTTTTCGTTTCATTGTGAACATTTTAATTTATAACAAAATTTACGGCTTTATTAATTATGTATTGATGGATTAATTAAGTAATATGACGACGGGGAATTATGTGCGTTGCATGATATTGTGAAAACAATTATAATTTAATTTGCTCATGATTTAAAACATTTTGTGTATTTATTCTTTAAATTTTCACAATTTTACTTACAATAAAAATTAAAATGGAAAATTTTATTAACGAACATGGTACTTCATTACAAGACTAAAATAATCAATTTGACGTACGAAAGGAACATAAAAAAGTCATAAAAATGTTAAATAAAATAATAGTCCAATATCCATCAATGAAGACAATCATGACATTACAAGAAATATGCTTACCTTCGATTCGATCAAGAGCAAAAGGTATTCCAAGACCACAAAATGATTTGTACATTTTCGTAACGATATTGCAAGGGGGTTACAAAAAATGAATAAGAAAATTACTGTATCAGAAACTTCTAGAAAAGCGTCAACATATTGGAAGCTCTTAGCGAGCATGAGCAACAATTTTGGCATAAATTATTTGAGATAGTTAAAACAAAACACATTATTAATTATCCAAACTATAAATATACTCCGATGAGAAATAAAC